GGTTTGATTGTTCAGGAGAAGAACTCACTAAAGTGGCAGCCGGCTCGGCGGAGTATGTTTACTGAATACATTTCTCTCATTTTACGTACAACAATATGAGAATTCTGGAGTGTTAGACATCATTTTGTGCCATTGTTTTCTGTGTCTGCCTGTCTTAATAATTCATGATTAAAGAAGACTGGAGTCTCAGCCATCTGCGTCCCCCCCGTGCTACAGTTAATTACAGATTTAGAGAGAATAAACTTGTACAGGCGGCTTCAGTTCTTTCATCATATACAGTGTTTTCTCTCTCTGCATGGGAGCGGGATGTTTGCCCTCTCTTTGCACTACCTTTCTCTTTTCTTCTTATTGTTTTTGCGATCCAGTGTAATCAATTGTGGCCTTTAATGCCTTGCATTACACTACTGAACATTTGCTCCAAGGCATCTGAGCATCGGCATTGCATTACAGTGTGATCTCCGAATTAATACGCTCACAGTGGTTTACACATGCTGCTGACTGTTGCTGTGTGGTTTGTCACATACTGTACGTGTCTCTCCACTGTTTTAGACACAGGCTACCACTATACAGTACTAATAAATGAGATTGTGATATATTATTTTAATATGTGATTTTTGCATCATGTTCTATATTCTATTTATATTACATCTCTATCTTAATATAGACAAACACTAAATACCATGAATTAATCATTAGTTAATTATTATATAATTATTAATATAAGTCTGGTGCACACTTTTAACATAGACTTGCTGACTCTAATGCTATTAATCACACTAGTGTCACTTTAGCCATAACACTGTTATTGTCTCCAAATGCTCTTGATATATAGTTTAGATGTTTACTCTTACTTTAATTTTATATCCCTTTTATTATTTTACTTTCTTTATTTATGTGTACTTCTTGCTGTCCTTGGGCTGCTGCACCAACCAAGGGATCAAAAAAGGTTTATCTTATCTCATCTTAAACTCATATCTTGCAAAAAACTTACCTTTCCAGTGTATTTTATATGGATTACACCCATTATAGTTATACTTAGTAGCAGATCACTTTTACTGTTTTGTCTTACTGTTTGAAAGTGGATGCTGCTGCAAACGGTATTCTTTGTCTGTTTTCATTATTATTTTATTAAATTTCTACTTGCTGGTTATTTTCCCATTTTGTATGTCCATCAATGTTGTAATGCATGTCTGTGCCTTATGTAAAGCGCTTTGAATTGCCTCTGTGTTTGAAAGGTGCAACACATATTTCCTTGCCTTTTTCTCATTTAAAACTGAGAAACACATTATGTTTTATTGATGCACACCAACTGGTGTGCGGAAATTTCTCAGCTGTTGTCAAAAAGTCCACTAACACATACAAGCCTAGTGTAGTTGTATATATAGTATTTCTTTTTTGTTTAGTTTTTTTCATCTTGCTTTTGTGTGAAGCTCAGTCAGTTTTCTGTTCTGATATGCAGACCTTAGCTGATGTAACATCCATAGTCTTCTATTCCGGACCGTATACAGTAAAAAAATATATATTTCTACTTAGCAGTAGTTCAAGTGTTAGGAAACTATAGCAGCTGCAGGGTTGTTATTCTATAGATGACCCAGTGCTGTGACTGCCCTGTGGATGGGAAAACCCTGACATGGACAAGGATCAATATTGCCTTATATCATTACTTTTCTTCTTCGCATCCTGCCAAAATGTTCAGTATGCTGACATATCATTCAATTGCTCAAAAGCGGTCCGGTTGGCTTTTGAACCTTAAAGTGCTTAGCTAGAACCTCCAGCTCAGCATAACCTGCACCAGAAGCCCAGTGCCTTTGACCCAGACCACACAGGCTGTATTCAGACGTAGCCCTTGATGCTGCTCAGACTTTTATATCAGCTGTTTCCTTTTACCTTTCCAGTTTTTCCATCATTCATTTTCTTTATTCTAATTTTTTCTGACATTTCAACCTCTGGGTGTGTGATCATATACTTCTAGAATGCTTCAATCATAAACCTGCCCTCATTCACCCTCTACATCCAAGCCAGGATTCAACCACCTGGCGTGAGCGCAGGTACTAAAAGCACATCATCACATAGACTGCTACTTCAGTTTTATTAGTAAATGAAAAGAGGACCGTCACCCTGACATTTATCAGACAGTAAAATAAAAGATAGTGTGCATAAACACAGGGCATATTTATTTTGTAGACATCAGATATATAATGTAATTCATTGCTCGTACAGTGTGTTTACAGTAAACAAGAACTTTTGAGACCTCCTCCCTGCCTATTAGTGGACATTTACACAATGTAAACGCTCATACAGATGAACACACAGACATGATTACCTTTGTTCTGGTAAAGGCTCCTCATTTATGGTCTTACACTGGGTTTCTTCTTTTAAAAAGCGGTCATTGACTTTGAACAAACGTTTACCCTGATTGTATTTCCCACGCATTGTCTTTTGCTTCAGTTTCTGCGAACAGAAACAGACCATTTTTGTTGATTTCCTTTTTATCAGATAAATGCAGACATATTTTCTATTTTATTTTTGAAAAATAAAACCCAACCCAACAATGAACCTCTCTTATTGCCTAAGTTGTTATTCAGGCACACATCCTTTGCCCTCTGCTTCCTATTTATTACCAGACAAGAACAGTTTCTCTTCCTCATCATCCTGGATGACACTTGGGGTCATCTGTATTCTGCGAACTTTCCCTATCTGCCACGAAGCCAAGGATGAGGGGGCAAATATCAGCACACAGACAGCTTTGTAACAACTAGTCAATTATTTAGTTAATGGAATTTTCACAGTGTTGTCAATAGAGAACAGTTGCCTTGCTATCGATCTGTGTCACTCGTCTCTGATGAGTGTTGATCAAAAACTCATTAAAAACACACTTGTCAGAACGGCTATCAGATCATGGAGGGGTGGAGCTCAGATAGATGGAGGACAGAGAGAACAACAGAGTGACAGTGAGAGAGAAAAAGAGAGATACAAAGAGAAACCGACAGATTCGGTTACAACAAGCAGGAGGGCGGATTTGGCTATTTGGGACATATAAGGATTGACTCGAAATTAAAATGAATCTTTCAGGAAACTAATAGTGTTCAGTATCAAACTGACATAAGTTGAATATGAATAGAATGTTTCAAACCATATTAGGAACCAAAGGAAAGACTCTTCACACAAAAGACCCCTTTTTAACTAAACTTAATACGCGTTCACAACCGTTCCAGACAAAGTTTACAAGTGCAAAAACACGCAAAACGAATCCAACGGCAATAATATGCAGGAAACTGATGAATAGGGCCCTTCTTACAGAAGACATTTTGACATGTCAAAGAAGGAAAAGCACAGGCGTAAGTAATAAAATTAATGTGCTTACTGGGAGATTTAAACAGAATGAAGCCATCATTAATGTAATTAGTAACACCTGTGGTTTTCCCACTTTAATAAGTCAAAATGTCTGCTATAAAAAGGAAGTATTAGTCCAGCTGATAGGGGCGCCAAATTTGAGGTAATATGTTCACTTTTTCATAAAAGCATGAAACTCGGGGGTTTGGGGTCCTTGAACCTTTTCAGAAACGGCAGCATCGCAAAAATCGTGGCAGACATCACGGCCTTTTTACCTTCAGCTATAACCAAACTTCATCATATCTCCTGAACCAAATATGATGACACAGAATAAGGGATGTCTACCTCTATGTTTTTGTGGTCATGTTTTTGTGGTCAAACATCATGAACTGTTCAGGTGAATAGTTGAGAACCTAGGCTATACTTTATAATATTATGTCTGTTGCATGTGTGTTGTGTTTAAAAGCTTAATCCTTTGTTCATTTACCCTGACAATACAGTGACTGTAAAGAGTAGAACAATATTCAGTATGACTTTCTCCACACTTTGTATTAGCGCTGTGTCAGCACTGGAGAAAGGTTTGGCTGAACACATTATTATTCTGGTGTAGGGGAAAATTGCTCTGGCTTGTTTGTATTTCTTTAAACCAATTACAATAGTGTTTCCTGGGAGGCGCTAAGACCAGGATTATGTCAATATCAGTGACGCTGCTGCAGTTAGAAGATGTGCAATATCAGCGTGTAGGTTGCTAGCTGGGAGGTTGTTGTTGTTTCACGTAGCGACAGGGATTGTGAAAACTGTAAAACGCAGATAGCACAAGGGGAAGATAATTCTGACTGAAGTAGTCAGCCAGTGGCAGGGTTATACCCACAGCCTAGTTCCTGGGAGTCTGAAAAATATGACCCTAAAAAAATAATAATAATAATAATTCAGAAACAGGTTTGTTTGTCTGTTTTGTTGTTGTTGAACCTATTCTTCATGGTCTCCTTTACAGTCTCCTCCACACTGATACAGAATTTTGCACTTTAATGAGGCCTTTTCTCAATATGCCCAGCAGCCTTTCTTGCAACTACAACTTATGAGTTCAATGATGGACTTTCTTTGTGAAAAAAATTGAAATTAAACATCATGCATTTTTTATCTTCACACTTGCATCATTAATTTAGTTACTAATAGCATACTATTGCTTTTTTTTAATCTCATTTGTGATGACTTTGGCTATGCGTGGGTCATTGGAAAGCATAGTTTAATTTATATACAATACTAGATAACGTTACAGACCTCCACAGAAGACTTTACTACCTTGTCATAACAGGATGAGAACAGGTGTTACTGGTAATGTTAATTATGTGGGTTTTTTTAAGTGTCCCAGTAAGCCATGTCGAAACATCTGCTGTCTAAAAGATCTTTTTATTGGTTCATTTTGTGTTGAGTAAGTGTCATTTTAGGAAATGTGTGTGTGTGTGTGTGTGTGTGTGTGTGTGTGTGTGTGTGTGTGTGTGTGTGCATTCAGACTTAAAGCTGTGATGTTACTGTGCACAGACACACAGTATCCACAGACAGTAAACATGAACAGGTGTCAACCTTCTCAGGAGCTTTGGGATACTTTGAGTCCTTGAAATGCCTGTGATGACTCTTGAACTCTGTGTCTACTGTTTCCCTTCCAGGACTGGCTGAGTAAGTTTGGCTACCTCCCGCCCCCTGACCCAGTGACTGGTCAGCTTCAGACCAAGGAGGCCCTGACCAAGGCTATCAAAGCCATGCAGAAGTTTGGAGGGCTGAAGGAGACCGGAGTCTTTGGTATGTGTGTGTGATTGTGTTGAAAAGGAAGGTTTACATTGTGAGAGAGTTAGAGAGAGAGAGAGAGAGAGAGAGAGTGAATATTATTCTAATGGGGAAGAGAATATAAAGTATAACCTACAATATAATGCAACCCAACCAACAAAAACACAAAATTACGGCTTCAGAAAACTGTCACTGTGTTGAATCAAAATCCTTCTGACACAACAACCATTGGAAAGGTAATATTTATTTCAGCTCTTTTGTATTGTATTGCACAGATGAGTTGCACCCACATACACAGACGCACACGGCAGAATGACAGCACCGCATACTATGTGATTGATAACAGCGGTGTACAACAGAATAACAGTGTATTGATTTGTGTACCTTCTCTAACACATGCAGTACATATTGTCAGTTTCGCTCACACTCCACACAATTCTCTTTCAGCAAAAAATATCATTCTTTATTACCCACACCACTATCTCCATCTCACATGCACAACTGTATGATACTGTGTGTGAATGGTTTTAAGGGACTAGGGTACTGGGTGTGTGTCTGAGCAAGCATAATGTATGGCCTGAACAGTAGTGTGTGTGAGAGAGTGTGATTTTGCATGTAAGTGGGTATCGTACAGAGCATGTATGATTTATGGCCACTCATAACCTCCTCTACATATGAATGCATATGAGTACATATAGTATGAGTTACAGCTACTGAAGCAGTCATTTGCAAACAGGTGTTGAACCGTAGTGGTGTATGTCTTCCACTTTTATACATTCTTTTTACAGCGTGTTTATGTTAAACATAATCTGCATTCATTGTCTTCCAGTTATCATAAAACTAAAGTACTAAAGATATATTTACGGTGTTATATTAATATTAGGTTTAATTTATGTACCTTCATTAGTCTGTATCACAATTACCTCTCCTCTCCTCTTCAGACCAAGCCACACTGGGTCTAATGAAAACGCCCAGATGTTCTCTGCCAGATGTGTCTGAGACAGAGGTGGTAATGGGCCGCAGGAAACGAGGCCTGACTCCTCAGAACAAATGGAATAAGAGACATCTATCCTGGAGGTAGGGATACTTGAAATACACAATGTGTTACGTGCTGTAAGGTCACACCTAAAAAATAAAGATCTGTATATCCAGAAGTCAGTGTCACAGTCATTCACCGTTTGCATCTGTTTAAATGCTGAATGCTGAAGGGTCCTTCACATAGATGGACTCTGAATGGGTTCCTATCCTGGTGTGTTTTTGGTGTCTTGCTGTTGCTTGGCGACCACATTATAAACTATGAGTAACTTAGTGTATGTGCTCATGTTAACCATGGCACTCAACAGCAGCTGTTTTCAGGTCACCACAAACACTGCAGTAACAAACGAACGACTGATATCGGAAAATTGATTCTCAAAGTCATCAACAAAGATTTGCATATTCCCCATTGATTTGATTTTTGTTTTTTACGCCGTGGTAATATCTGTTTGTAAGATCTTATAGATTCTCAGCAGAAAGAGTTGCAAATATAAGTTTTATTTAAAGTTTGATTTTTGAGCTCATTTTTCAACTAAAGAAAAAAAATTCAATATTCTCTGTTTGTGTATAAGCAGTGTTTAAAGCTGTTCAAACCCATGGAAAACAAGTAGAAAAAGTCACCTGCTTCTGCTGAAAATGTACCCAATTCATCCTATTAGGCCGGAGGGAACAAATCACTAGAATTATTATTATTTTATGTATAATATTGTACAAATACATACTACAATGTTTTATTGTTTGTGTTTCAGTTTTCAAGTTAAGGTTACTTAAGTCTAATACAATTATTTTCAGTCCAACTCAGTACATCACAGTTTATTAATATTATTATATTATTTGTTTCACATACATACAAAACACATCAAGGGGATAAAGAAACCTGTAATGGCTTAAATGAACACCCAAATAGACATACCAAATGTAAAATACAAACATACAAAAAAATCACCTAATCATTACTTTAGTGCAGTGCAGGAACTCATAAACCATCACCTTCACGCAATTGTATACTCCATCTGTGCATCCTTTGGTAAATTAGATAAGTATCTTCCTTAAGGTGCAAATCGTTTGGTTTCTTCTGGATCAATTTTGGCTCAGAGGAAGAGCATTTTGTAAAAGTGGCACGCTTGTTAGAGACACCTTAAAGAAACTCAGATTATATAGGAAGAAACCAATTCCTTTAGTTACATATAAAATGTGGAATGAGTTCAAATTCTTGTACAATTGCAATGGGAGCACAGCATGGAATGGTTCCAGGTCCACTACGTTCTACCAAAGTCTTTTGTATGATTCCGAAAGATAAAGGCTTCATCACAGAGTAATTCCACAGTTTATACTGTGCATGATAAAATAATACTGTCATGTTAAGTGGAGCTGGACCATCTGTCAGGGATACAGCTTAGTGTTAGACAGCAGAGGAAGAGGCAGTGAAACATATGGTTGGCCTGTGCTGATTCACACACACTATCAGGGGCGATTCAACAAGAAGATGATCTAAGCTGGTGTGTCGGCCAGTTTGTGTGATATTTGTGTACCCATGGGGTAAAATACTTACACATTGATACAGTAGATAATGCACACACAGACAAACATTTAGAAAAAGATCACGCACGATACAGCAAACGTACAGCCACACTGTCCCCTCCCACATGGGGCTGGATTTCTCTGTTCGCTCTCTCCCTGAGGTGTTTGTAAAGGCTCACTGCCTCTCAGTCAGCCATTAGACACAAGTCTTGACAGTCAGACCACAAATTTTGATTAATTTTTCCCACTGCTCTTTTTGCCCATTCATGTGCAGTGACCCCAGATGTCATCCAGCAGTGTTGTTGATGAGAGGAGTCAGTCTTTAACTTGTGTTATGTGCGGTGACACAACTACCTAATCCCAACCTCAAACAAAACAGGATAGGTGCGTGGAATATCGGAATTGGTTCGCCACTTTGGTCCATCCTGGGGGAGTATTTGTGCTTTAGGATGTAACCACTGTGAGACAATCAGAAAATAATGTTTTATTTCTCTGATTAATAATTTGTCTCACTACCGGCGCTCTCTCTCTCTGTCGTTTATTCACACATGTCTTTTCGTCTCTCTGTCCCTCTGTTTGATTTGGTCTGAATTGGCCTTTAGTCTTCTTAGAAATCCAGTGACAGTTGACCTGTGCATTGCAGTGCATTTGAACCACAAATGTCAGCACACAAGGTGACAGTTGATCATTTACCCCCTCATAGTGTATTCCAACAAGCCTCCACAGCTCTTTTAGATTGTATTCGATGTTGATTGCTCAGCCAGTGTTACAATATAGGATGTTTATAGGAAGTTTTGGAGTTGCAATTTTTATAATTACGCATGGGAAAAAAACTACTAAATATTATGATTACACCTCAGGAGAGCTAACAGCTGCAGAATTATGCAAATTAGACATTTTGGCAAATAAAAAAATGCATGAAAACACAAGAAATATACAGTAAAGCTGATTTGTGTCAGTCGATTTATGTAGCAACCACAGCAAACACTGCTCTGCAAAACACGGTAGGACTGTACTGTCATCATTTTTTATTCCGTTTTGTTCCTCTTATTGCAATGTTGTAGTGTTAAGCTTTTTTTCACCAAGTCTAAGTGGTTGAATTGCTTTTGTTTAGATGAGGAGCAGGGTGTTTACAGCTGACAGGTCAGTTTAGCGGGGTGTTGCTTTGCCACAAGCTGCAGTGTGCACCTGACAGCAGGAACACTCTGAAACAGACAGGTAGGCTGTGAAAATCTTGGCTATACTTACCGTTTATAAAGAAAGAACATTTTATTTGCAAGTGTAGACACAGCGCTTGGGTTGGAGCTGGTACTGTAAACTACAAGCTGCATTTATGAATGAGGGGTGTTTTTGTTTGGTTTACCAAGATGACGCCCCTACAATATCTATATTTGGAGTCATCAGTAAGTCACAGTATGTACTTATAAGTAGCAGAATGCATGTGAGCACAAATCAAAGATAGCAGTCATCTGTTTGATGACAAGTACTGATTAAATAAGTACCCGAGGAAAGTCTTTATCTCGGTCACCCCAGCCCAAGTTAAAGGAGAGTGGGGCACACAGGCCAGATGGGCTGCAGCAACCTGCGGAGGGATAATGAACCCAGGAGGCTAGTAGATCTAAGGTAGGAAAGAAGAAAAGCAGAATAAAGCGAGATGCAGAGGGAAAGCAGGACATCAGGGCACTGGAGGATTGAAGAAACAGGTCGATAAGCAGGAACGATGGGAAAGCTGTGGGAACACGAGGGAGTGAGGGGGCTGCAGTAGTTACAGTAGAAGAACAGAAAATAAAGTAGAGCTGGGACTGAGAAAAGATGGTGAAGATGATGAAGCAGCAGGATGAATATGAGTTGTATAATGTTGAGTTAAGGATTTAAAAAAACATGTATCCGTCTGCTTCTTTTCATTGATCCACAGAAATGTTAGAGATCTAAAAAATATTGACTGGTTGGTTCACAGATTAACATTACAGTCTGGTTTCTACCGGAAGTTACTAGTTACTTAAATCTGGCATTTTCTAAACTAATATTCATTGGTAATGCAGTTGTTGTGTCTTCAAAGCATCAGATTAATTAACTATTTATATATGATTAATTATGAGATATATTTCCACATCCTCATACTGTACTTTCCATGTCTCTTTTTTATTTTTATATACTGTCTAAACCTTGTTACCACCACACCCTTTAACTAGGTGACATTGAACAATGGAAAAAAATGTTTATATTGGGAATAGAAACTATTTACAGTAAAGGTATTTCAAAAAACTATCCTTAAGTTGAAGGGAATAATCTTACAATTACATTACCTGTCAACCCAAGAACACTAGTGGATCATCATCATGCTGCCCTGACAATAAATTCCATCTGTATAGAGATATTTCACAGCCTGTGCCTACCACTGAATATCAGTTATAAATATACAATGGTCTTCCTCTGTGTAGTCTCACTAGAATTAACCAGAAAAGAGGACCAAACACAGACAATTAAGCACGAATGACCAACAGTAACAATAACAACAAGCAATCTTAGGCTGCAGAAATGAGCTAACAATTTTAAATAAATAAAAAGCAAAGCAGAAAACACAGAGATGTACAAACAATATAAACTCCACAGCAGCTGCAGCCACAATCACACATGCACAGCTTTTTACACATACCATAGCAAGGCTGTGTTGCTAGGCAACGTTATTGTACTCACCTGTCCGACGTCATTCTGTGAGTCTTGTGTACTGCTATTCAACTTCTTAGTTTGACCATTTTCAGTAAATATTATAACTATTCAATTCAATTCAGTGTTATTTGTGTAGCGCCAATTCATAACTAAAGTCATCTCAGGACACTTATAAATAAAGCATTTAGTACTAATTAGTACCAGTGATAAATAATACCTGTTTAACATTGTCATGTTAGCATTGTAATTGTGAGCATAGCATGCCGACATTGACATTGATTCTTAGTGTTGTTAAAATTTAATTGGCAATGTTGTTAAATTATTTACTTCTACAATTTCTGCAGCTACACTATGGTTAGTTGTGAATGTGCTTATGTCAGAGAAAGAGCTATAGTTGTGGCCATGTTCCCGGGCAAGAACATGTGAAGTCTACCTAATTAGCATGCATGAATAGTTCTACATTCAGTAAGTTCATATTTCGGTTTCCTCTGACATTCACAGGATATTTAAAATTGGTAGAAAAGAGAAAGAAAATAATCTGTTAATGAAACTACTTCCTAAAAACAATCAACATTGAAAATTGGTTTCTCACGGAAAAGGAACCTCGATCTCCTGTGTGTAAGTCCTGTGTTTGACCCGTCCATCCCTCCAACCTCCTCACTATGGACTTTATACTGCGTACTTTCTTGGCTGGCATCAATATTGCCCCCTGCTGGTACTTATTTTAACCCAAACTAGAATCTTTTCATTAAACCAACCAAACTGCCCCTCGTTTTACACATCGTATTTAACTTGCGTCATGTATGCTACATTTCTTAGTATGTTCACAGGTACAATGTTTTCCTCAACAG